GAAGGAAGGAAGGAAGGAAGGAAGGAAGGAAGGAAGGAAGGAAGGAAGGAAGGAAGGAAGGAACCAACAGACATACAGAGAAAAAAGAAAGAATGAAAGAAAAAGAAAAAAAAGAGAAGCACACAGAGAGAGAAAGAAACAGAGACAGAGAGAAGGAAAGAGAGAGACAGAGAAAAAAGAAAGAACGAAAGGAAAAAGAAAGAAAAAGAGAGACAGAGGAACAGACAGAGAAAGAAAGAGAAAGAGAGAGACAGAGAGAAAAGAAAAAATGAAAGAGAGAGAGACAGAGAAAGAAACAGAAACAGAGAGAAAGAAAGAAAGAAAGAAAGAAAGAAAGAAAGAAAGAAAGAAAGAAAGAAAGAAAGAAAGAGAGAGAGAAAAAAAAAGAAAGAAAAAAGAAAGAAAAAGAGAGAGAGACACACACAGAGGAAAAACAGAAACAGAGAGAAAAAAGAAAGAGGTAGAGACAGAGAAAGAGAGAAAAACAGAGGTAGAGACAGAAAAAGAAAGAAAGAAAGAGAGAGAGAGAGAGAGAAAGAAAGAAAGATAAATGCACACCCGTGGACAATTTTCTCTCTCTCCTATTTACTGTAATTTCCCAGGGAAAGTGCAACCCAATTGCTGCCCACACAAGGTGTTGCAGATGCACAACCTCAGCTCTTATCCTGAAACTATACTTATACAAATGAGCCAGCCCACAATCCGCCTCTTATAACAAAAATTCAGACTAGAGACCAGCACTCTTCTTCCTGGTTCTCACGCCAGGCTTTTTCCTGGGTGGCGACACAAAATACCTCGTCCCTGATCCGTAGAACCGGAGTTCTTTGCCAAAGCCACACCAAAAAAATATTTCAGGGATTAGTTTGTCTCATTTAATGCAGGGCTGCAGTCAGACGAGGCCTTTTCTCCACCTTGTTAGAAGAAGCCATAAATGCTGTTATTTTCAAGCAGTGTTTTTCAAACTTGGTCCCTTTAAGAGGGGTGGACTTCAACTCCCAGAATTCCCCAGCCAGCTATAAGTCCACCCCTCTTAAAGTGGCAAAGGTTAAAAAACACTGCTGTAAAGCAACGCACCCACATGCACCCACAAATACAAACACACACACACTCATTTCAGAGGTGGTATTCAGCTGGTTTGGACAGGTTCTACAGAACCGGTAGTGGAAATTTTGAGTCGTTCATATGAATATAATTTACTATGCTCTCTCAAATTGCCATAGAGCTTGGAGAGGATTTCAAAAAAGAAAAGAAAGTCGATTTCTTTTCACAATCCCATCCCGCCTTGCACACACCCTGAATCAGAAATAATCAGGGAAAGCACCCAACAAACAGCACCTTCCTATCCTTTGGTTATTATTATTATTATTTTCCCCGTCATCTTCATTTATGATGCAACGGCCCGTCCAAAGGTGACATCCTCGCCTGGCGCCAATTCCCAGTGATTAAGCCCTCAGTCACTCCAAAGCCATCTCATTCCTTTCCTGGAGTTTAACTTTTAACTTGCCTCACCTTTCTTCCTTTGAACGAAGCCAAACATGTCTCTGCAAACCGCATCTGGTCAGCCCCAGCCAAGAGAGCAGATTTCGGAAGGGAAACCAAACTAAAAGCACGCGAAAAGTGTGTCCATTGATCCAAATACCGAATAAATTTAACGTATAGAATCCACCCCCGACTGGATGCTGGAAAAAAAGAAAAGAAAAATCAAGAAATTCTCCTTGCCTTTTACACACACAAACACACACAGAGACAGACAGGAGAGAGAGAAATGATAAATAGGTAGGTAGGTAGGTAGATGATAGAGAGAGAGAGAAGAGAGAGAGAGATGGTAGGTAGGTAGGGAGATGATAGAGAGATATATATGATAGATA